GCGCTTGGCAACAGCCGCTGCGCCATGATCCACTGGTGCAGCAGCTGCGAGTCAAGATTGTAACACTGCCCGAGGCACGCTTCTTTCACTACGGCACCACGGAAGACATGATCTTTTCGACAGTTGCCATTCAGAACACGGAGCGTTCCTCGGAAAAATTCCTGCGGGCAGCGATGTCTCGGCACCCCGCCGCCGTCTTTCAAAACGCTCGGGTTCACACCACACTCGCGGAGGATCAGCGAAGTATTTGGGTTGAGAACAGCGAGGTGTCGGCGGGGTGGTCACTGCAGCATCACTCCGTCATTACTGGTGTGCCAAGGAACACGTGGACATTGCATGTACCAGCATATGTGTGTATCGACGTTGTGCCGGTTCGCGGTGAGGGCGGTGGTGACAAAAAAGGATGGGTGGCACGCCCTTACGGCTTTAACGACCCCTTTCGTGGGTACATTACAGGAGAAAGCACGGAATTTCTTGGGATGCCAATTGAATGCTGGCTGCGTAAGCATGATTTGCGCCTTGAAGCCCTCACCAATGGGAATAACGCGAATATGTTAGACATCCAGTGTGCAGCGCTCTTCCCGTGGTGTGCGACGGTGGAGGATCTTGGCCTTCTCATTCGTTGGATGATTGACCCCACGTCGTGCGACTTGAAGCCTAGTGACGTGAAGCGTGCGAAAGGGCTTTGGGAAATGGGCGTGCGGTATTCAGCGAACGAATTGAATGATGTGGCGGATATCACAGCACTGCTGGACTCACGCGAGAGTTTTCAGCGGGAGATACTTCCTATCATGGCTGCCCATGCACACAGGAGCCCTTTTTATCAGATGGACTTGAATCACACGGCGCAGAAGTATGCCGCTGCACACCTGCCGCTCCCTGGGAAGTTGCCAGCAGAGGGAACTCCCATCTTGCACCGCATTCACCATCATATGTTTTGTGCACGTGTATTGCAGTGTATACTTAAGCTGTGGGAGAAATCGTTTCCCTTTCCTGGTGACTCAAACCAGGAAGTGATGGAGGAGGCCACAAAGGAAGAGGAACGTCGGCAGAAGGATGAGTTGCCGCCTCTTCTGCAGGGCGTCTCCTTAAGTTTAGAAGAGGTTCAACGTGTGTATGGGCTTCGAAGCAAGGAGGAACTGGCTGCTCGAGCTCATGAAGAGGACACGACAGCGTTTCATCTGCTGCAAACAGCGACGCTGCAACAACTGACCATTACTCCTTCTCTGCCATCACCGCAACTCTCTGTGTACGACGACCAGATTGTGTGGGGTAGAGGACCGGCTCGCATTGATCTTTCAGGTGGATGGACGGATACCCCACCGTACACAAACCTTTGCGGTGGGAATGTTGTGAACGTTGCCATTGAATTAAATGGCCAGCCACCACTTCAAGTGTACCTGAAGCCTTCTGCAACGCTTGACATCACACTTTGCTCCATTGACCTTGGCTCCGTCGAGAAACTTTCAACATTTGAGGAGCTGCGGCGTTACAACGTGGTGGGCTCTCCCTTTTCTATCCCAAAGGCAGCCCTTGCAATGGCTGGATTTCTCCCGGAGTTTGGGGCAAAAACGTTTGCCACGCTGCAGGAACAACTCAAGGCTTCTTTTCGCGGTCACGGGGTGGAAATCACGCTTTTGGTGGCAATTCCGGCTGGATCAGGACTCGGCAGCAGTTCACTTCTCGCCGCCACGGTGCTAAGCGCCCTCTCCGACTTCTGTGGTCTTGGGTGGGATGCACAGGAGGTGGGACGACGCACACTTTGTTTGGAGCAACTTCTCACCACAGGCGGCGGGTGGCAGGATCAATACGGTGGGTTGTACCGTGGCTTGAAACTCCTGCAGTCCAGCCCGGGA